TTACTTTTGCATAGATTTCTAATTCTTTAAGAATTTTTTTCAATATTTCTACATTTTATTTTTTCTAGAAATTATCTTTTATTATTCCTCGAATAATGGCATATTGGAAAATATTTAATTAAGTTCTTCTTTCTCTATTTAATTAACATTATTAATTTTTTTTACACAGTAAATTCAAATTTTTGTTATAAAGTTTGGAGTAAAGTTTTGTCATCTTGCTAGGAACGTTGAATTATCTTAAGAATCTCTGACTTCATCTCGATACTTCGTCGTAAAAGTTTATAATGATCTGTCTCTTAAGACGTGCAAAAAACACTTAATGTGGTTGTGCAAGGGAAAGTGGTGTATCGTATGTATGATGTTCTCTTTCTCTCTCTTTCTTTCTGTATTTACTTTTATCTATCTCTTTTCAAAGTGGTGGTCGTATCTCTTCCAACACGATCTTTACTTAGGTCACTTTCCCTTTGGGTGTTGTGAACTTCGTTGGAAATGGTATCGACAGATCACTTCTCGTGAGACCACGAAAATTTCCAGTTGCTAAGAAGACTCTCTTCGTACGACCAATTGGCGCAGAAAAAAAAAAGAAGAAAAAGAATATATATCCTACGTTTATTTCTTCTATGTCGTTTTTATTTCAAACTGTTTATACTGTTCAAATTTCTTGTACGCACTCTAAACATAATCATCAATTTTAATGGTTTCATTTTATTTTTTCCATTAAATTCTATATAAATTAATTTTTTCTTTCTTTTTTTTTCGTTCTCTCGTTTAATCGTAAAATAATACAATGTAAGGATCGTATGTAAAAATAAATTTTGATACGAATATGAAATTACATTTAAAATCATGTATAACATAATGTAATAGATTAAACATTAATTCGTATAATATTATTACAAATTAATCTTATAAAATTACAACTAATAACGTAATTTATTTAAAAACACGTATAAAAGAAAACAATATTGTAAAACATATAATATATCTCTACATTGTTTTTATATAATGCGATCGGATCGTTTATTTCTCGATACGATCAAATAATTCTTAAATGCGTGGTAAAATGCTGAGTAATTCGGAAAGAAACCGTATTTTTTTTCTTATAACACATCCCCTTGAAATAAGAAAAACGTTTTGCGTTTTCCGTTTATACGCATACTCTGGCTTTAGTTTGACAAGCAATGGGTCGAAGTTCGAACTAGGTGGGTGTCTATACCTATATATACATATATATAGGTATGTAAGATTCACGAAGGGTAAATGTGTCAAGCTTTGAATCCTTTATCATGCTAATCCCCCATTTCTGTGGAAAATTCTTCGAGCTGTATACGTTATGCGTTATAAGCCTGATTCCTTCGTCACGGATGAGAAACACTCGAATGTATGTTAATTACAAAGCCATTGCATCCAAGCTTCTGATTCGTTGATTTCAGATCTCTCAACATCCGTTTAACAAAGTCTTTCATAAGTGTTTCAATTTTTCACGATTATTGAAATAATGAAAACAATATAATAATACGTATAATTATCTAAATAAATAATATTAATAATAATAATAATGATAATAGTATGATGATGATGATGATAATGACGGTGGAGGTGATGTTGATTGTGTTAATAATAATATTAAAATATTGTTATAAAAATAATAATAAAATATTTGAGAAATATATGATGTAATAATATAATAGTGATCGTGATTAGAATTAGAATAAAATTGTTATAATAATAATGTAAGACTTTTTATATGTGAAACATTAACATTAACGAAGATGGAAACTCGTGAAACTTGTCGGACAAGTTTAAAATGTAACCACAATTGTACTGGTTTTTTTTTTACCTCGTACCGTTCAAAGATCGGAAACTCTATCACACATTTATCCGGCAAGTGTTACACAAGAATTATGCTAGTAGCTCATTAAAAAACCTATGTTCTTGAATCATTATTCTTTGAATAACGTTGAAATTATTGCATCTTTGATATAGTCGAGTAAACTATAGCATTACCATGTAATACATGTAATATTATTTTCTTATTCTTTTTGATGAATTAATAAATAATAATACTAATATTAAACATATATATACATCAATCTTTACAGAATAATGGAAGAAGGAAATAGGTCAAAAAAAATATTACAATACATATAATTGTGTAATAATATCGATATCGCATAATCATATATAAAATATAAATAAATAATTATTATAATATAATATATAA